ACTGCGTCTTTTTCCGTGGATGAAATCAGCTGACATTGGATGGATGGGGGGGTTTGGTGGGCTACTCTTCCCAACACTTGAATTATTCTTGTGGATTCTGGGCCATTTTTTGGCTTAAACTCATAACTCTCTTAGCTTAAGACATGATTAGATTGGCCCAATAAAGCTCACAACACTACTTGTTATATATATATATATATATATATTTATATATATATGCATGTAAGTGTGTTTGTGTGTTTTAGTAATAGTAATAAAATTGGCATGTGAAAATTGGGTTGGATTGATGAGTCTAGATGGTATTAATTAGGATTGAAAACGTGTGCTGAATTTGATGATGTGCTAAAGATATATTAAGAAAGACATTCTAAAAGAAATATATATATATATATATATATATATATATTTTCAAATCCGTTTCATTACTTATGATTATTGCAATGACTGTCCCTCCAAACTCAAGTATATTCACTACACATAGCAAAAATAATATATATCTCAAGGAATATACAAATTCTTAAATTCACTTCTTTTATTTAATGCCTCAATCTAAATCCTAGGTTTAATTATTCACATTTGTTAATTTCTGCTGGAGTTACGCATAATTGAAATAATATTAATACAGTCATGTTTGCAGCATAAAATAATATTTCATGTATTGAATTTATTTATTAGACTATCACAATGGCAAATGTATTATCTTGTTTTTATTTTTTAAATAAAGTATGACTGAACAAGCTAATTTTGGTTTTCATTTTCTAACTTAACAATAAACACCAATACAAATGAATAAATACTTGCAAACCAAATGGCTCATATTATTTAATTCCTACAAACACCACCATATTTATAACATTATTTTAATTGCAGAGTAGATTTTTTTCAAAATAAAATTTGAAATTAACAAAAAAAAAAAAAAAAAAAAAAAAAACCTGCGGGTTTCGAAAAACTAACAACTTTATATGTCCTTTCAAAAAATTAACATTAATTTTACAGATATTGTTATTATTTTTACTCATTCTTTGTGAGAAAAATTTCGAAATAGAGAGATGTCAATGTGAGGATATCAAATTTTATGGAACTTTGTTTTAGATAATCTTGCCATGCAACCAAAATATATTTTTGGCATTAGTTCAATTTATCTTAAACAACAAAAGAATTGTTTCAAACTTGAAGTAGGTTTATCATAGAATCATGCAATTTGAAAATGTCTTCTTTCACAACTTTACAATGTTATTACATTGTGAATACATTTTGAATTGGTCATTTACATCAAATCATGTTCCCTAATTGTTAGTTGGTACACATTAAAAATAGAACTAGTTTTAAAGAATATACTTTCTACATTTATTGAGTGCATGCTTATGTTTCAATGATATTTTTATTAATTGATTTGTGTGTGTACATGATCTTAGGCTGGTTGTTATTTGAATATAAATACAAACACATATCACAATGATTTTTCATGAGTTCATCAAATACAATTCCCATAAACAATACAAAATTAAATAAAAGTATGATATAGTGATATATAATTACAGATAAAAAAGAACAAAACTTTAGTTTGAAATTACTTCAAACCACTATAATATGGCATATTGGTATGAAGAAGTTCAAAATTTTGTTGAAAAATCTCCAATTTTTCTTAATGAATATTACCACATAGATAACAAGTCTCTGATGTGAAAAATGCAATTCAATAATCATTGAGACATATTTCATTAATTTCATGTGATATGTTGTAGCATTTTATTGTATAATTCACAATTCTGTCAGCTATTACTTCAATAATGAAGAGCTAGGTTCAAGGGAAAATTGATGAAGTGTGCTTTCTTTTAAATGAATGAGATGACTATAAATGCTAATAGTGGTGCATAAAACATATAAATATACATACATATATATATATATATATATATATATTCACCTAGAAAATATGCTCCCCTCCAAGAAAATAGTATGTAGAATTTTCTCATGACAGGAAATCATGCAGAATGGAATTATCCTTATATGATGCTTTTTTGAGCTCACGTAGGGGCCACACACATCATGGCTCATTTATCACCAAAATGAAAAAAGAATATATTGTGGGCATGTAAACACACATGGGGAACTTGGAATTAAATAATTACATCAATCCGTTATGACATCACATGTGTTTTAATATATAATGATAGTCAAGGGGAAACTGATCATAAAACTGTTTTCAATGTTTATTTACTTCGTCATTCATAGAAAATATTTAAGAAGGAATGTTTGCCTTCACAGTCTACTTCACAGGGTGACTGTTGTTTTGGATTTAAAATATTTATTGCTGTTTTGGTAAAGAATACTAACATGTGTGAATACAACATGAGTGATTGACAGACTTTGGATTTTTTTTTTTATTTAGAACACTACATAATTGGTTGTTGAGATGATGGTTATTGTTATCATTATTATTACTATTATTATTATTACTGATAATATTGTTAGATATCCACAATGGATGGCCATCATTTGAGGCCAAAATAAAATCATGGGAGTGGTAAAAACATTAACTTATTTTATATCATTGGTAGAAACCGCTATCACAGACCTTTATTATTAACATGAGCTGAAAGGTTAAGTATTAACATTAAAAATAATAAAAAAATATGTAAGAATATAAAAGACAAGTTAAGAAGGACTAGTAGTTGTTTCCAAGGTGAAGCAGTGAAAATTAATTAATGCCTCTTGTTCTATCTACATTACTTGTACATTTGCAGATGGTGCAGAGCTGGCAACAAAGAGAATGGCATGGCATGCAACAATTTGAAGTGCATGTTAGACAATGAAATAACAAGCAAGATTTGAACATGAATAAAATCTAAAAGGCTGTTATTCTGTGTAAATACTAAAATATGTTCTTAATGCCAACTGTGTTCCGAGGCATAATTGACCATAAATTGGGTCAAGTGGTTAAGTATTGGAGGCTACCTGTAGCATGTTTCTATGGTTATTACTGGACTGAATACATCTTTTTTGGATTTGGGGTATGCAATTTTTTTGTGTACAAGTGTATTATATATTTAAAAAAACTGGGCTACTACCATCTATGCAGTGGACATGGTAATTGCACTTATAAATAAATAAATAAATAATGTAAACACCATCTTATTAGCCCATTTATTCACTGTTTCTAGTTATTAAAAAACTCACTCAATTCAACTAACTTGATTTTCACCTAACAAGTATACTATCATAAGTACACTTGCAACATTAAAATAAATTGGTCTTATGAATGTAGTCATTAAGTGGAGTATCAACTACAACCCAATGAACACTTTAAAGTAAAGAATCACTCTTCTTGCCTACACATACACATACACATGAGTATATGTGGAAGCAAAATGTAATCTTACAAATTTCATTTTTTCTTTTCTCCTCAATGAAAAAGATTGAACAACAAATTTTTGGAAAAATTAACTGTGAAGCTTTGAATCCAAGGTAGTCACTAGCTCTGCAACCAATTTAAAAACTCAAAAACTAGATTTGATGAGTCAAAATAAATAATAAATGTTTCCATTGGAATAATAATAAAAATAATAATAAGTTTATGTATCAATTAGGAAGAAATTATGGTTGCAGAAGTGTATTGATTTGAAAGAGATAATCATGCAGATTCATCAGGAACTGCTAATTGATATCTAATTGTTGATAGTTTGGTTATTGTAAATAATGAACATGAACACGTATGTGTTATAATATCATGAGTTTTGATACTGAGTCAATATCACCTTCACTAAAAGGAACCACTGTATAATTTTCAGTAGCCAATATTCAAAGGTTAATGAAAGGTGTTTTAATCCCACTAAGTTTCAAGTCTTTATGGTATGGCACAAGCCTCAATACTACAGAGTTAAATCCTTATCAGCTGCATGTTTTCACTATTATCTTTATGCTCATTTTTTAGAAAGATTCCTGAGTTTAATTGAATAATTTGCATTACACTCACATTATTTCAATGATTTAAGACCATAACCTATGTTGAAGATGTAAACCTTAAAAAAGTTTAAAATCATAAACCAGAAAATTTTGAATGTTTTGACAAGAACAGTACAGAATAATGCTTGAGTTTTCTAGTGATACAAGTTAAACTTTTAAGTAGTGAAAATCTACAAAATTCCATCAGATAGAAAGAAAGAAATAAATAAATAAATAAAAACTTGCATATTTTTTGATTTTGATTCATTAGATCTTAAGTGATTAAATTTCACGACGAAATTTCAATACAATACCTAACTATCAACATCAAAAAACGCAATTTGCAATTCTATGTAATGTAAAAAATAGTTATTTTAGGGTTAAGAAAAAAGGGAGCAGCGTGTCACAATACAAAAGCAACTGAACAATTTTATTTTATTTTATTTATTTATTTTAATCATGCTCACTATTGGGCAATACATTTTAGACAAGTACTCAAATGCCACATAAAGAAACTATTTGGGTCTACTTAGAAACTCCATACATACATATATATATATATATATATATATAAATAAATTTGAAAATCATCTATTAATGATCTCAATTTTTTTTCTTTTATATTAAAGAGATACACCAACTTTGGATATAATAATACACAAAGCACATTAAACACAGAAACATTAATGAATAATAATATATGCCATTCCCAAGCGGGCCGAGCCCACCAACGGGATAATGCCAAGTGGCACTCTGCTACAGGCAATGCCCAAGACCCCCCCCCCGAAGTTCCCCCAACACATTCATTCTCCCAGCACGCCATTCAACCTCATCCATCCACCACTCATCCATTCATCCACAACATGCGACTTACATTCATCACAAAACACAACACATCCAGGAATGAACGAATTCATCCGTAAATACACCCACCAAAACATCCATCCATATTCGATCCGCGTTCGTGGATGAGATGGGGACCATGGGTCACCTTCACCCGTAGCGTTCCTTCCGTGACACGCTGCTCCCTTTCTCCCTTTCTCTCTCTCTCTCTCTCACTTTCTCTCTGCTCTCTACTCTCCTCTGTTTGCTCTGCTCACTCTCTTCAGGGGGGGGGGAGTGGGGCAGTCTCTCTTTTCTCTCTTTTTGTCTCTTCTCTCGATTTTTAGCTTATTCTCTCCCCTGGGTCTGCTGCTGGCACAGTCTTCCTCCTCTTCCTCCTCTTCCTCCTCGTTTGCACGCTCAAGCATCCTCTGCTATGCTGCTGCACTTAGGGAAAACTTTACTCGTGGACTCACTCCTTGTTTAGTTAGTTTTTAAGGGAAGGGAAGGAAGGAAGGAAGGAAGGAAGGAAGGAAGAACAGAGAAGTACACACACACACACACATATATATTTATATATATATACATACACATATATACTTAGTCTATTTTTGTGGGTAGGGTGGAGTAGTGTGTTCGAGGGGATGTTGATGTAGTTTTTACCACATAGTTTGATGGATGTTGGGTATGGTGGCTACACAAGCACGCACCCTTAAGAAGAAAAGGGTTACATCCTGCTCTCGTTTGAAGCGGGGCTGAAGTGGTTTTGAGAGGTGGGGGAGCAGTGAGGAGGAGGAGGAGGAGGGGGTTTGAGGCATGGGCATAGTGATTGCTCTGCTGAGGCGGCGTTTGGAGGGTTAATAGTTTGAGGAATGGTGTCTGGAAGCGACGGAGTGATAGTGGGTATTTTTATTTTTTTGTTTTTGTGAGGACATGAGGAGTAGCGCTTAGTAATCACTGCAGGGGAGTTTGGGTTGCTTATCGCTTGTCGTTTCGAAAGTGCTCTCAAAATGGTGGTGGATTTGGGTATATTCTTGGCGGTTTGGAATACGAGAGCTCAGGGTTGGTGTCGTCTGTGTGCTCCATTTGCGCGGAGGGAGAGCGTGGTTTGCTTTAGGGTTTGGTTAGCTCTGACCTTTGCCATTTAAAGCTGTAGTGTGGTAGGTTTCGGAGCTGAAGTAGTCGTTGATGCGATTTGTTGATTCTTTAAGGTAGAGAATATAGAGGATTTGCCAGAAACAGGGTAGCATACTATGGAGGGCCTAGGTGAAGGTTACGAGGCGTTTGTGGAGCGGTTGCAATCAGCTGCTAACACTGCTGCCAAGGTTTCTGGGAATAGTTCTACGAGCAATTCTGCGGGGCATCCCCCGCATCCTACACAGTCTCAGGTACATCAGTCGCGATATGTTGGTTATCCATCCACCTCTCACCCGTTCACTGTCAAGAGGGAGACGTCTCCTGCTCTGTCTGAGAGTTCAATGAGGTCGAGAGAGTCATTAGAGGTGTCCATGCAGGATGCAGTGAACTCTCCAGTCCCGCCTGGTTTCTTGAGCTCTGGACAGCCCCCGCGGATACCCAGTCCTGCTCACAACTACAGTAAGGATGTGAATCAGATGCCGGATTCCCCTCCAAGACGAAGAGGTCATCGTCGTGCTCAGTCTGAGATTGCTCTCCGCTTGCCGGATGAAGCTTCCTTCGAGCGTGAAATGCATGGCTCTGAAATGCCGGCACTTTCAGACGAGGGCGGGGAGGATCTTGTCTCCATGTATATAGATATGGAGCAGATCAACAACTTCACCGCTACCTCAGGTCAGGCGGGTGCCAAGTCTGCTGGTGAGGAAAGCAATGGGCTTCCCCCAACTTCTTCTCATCACTCTAGAAGTTTATCCATGGATGCTCTCGCTGGCTTCAATAGCAGTAGAGCTGAACTTGGTGGCAACTATGGATCCTCCGAAGTTCCTCGACGTCCGCGACATCAGCATAGTAGCTCACTGGATGGCTCTACTTCTGTCGATATCGAGGGTTTAGACAGCAAGAAGGCCATGGCTTCTGCGAAGTTATCCGAGATAGCTTTAATTGACCCCAAGCGTGCGAAAAGGTCAATATTCCTCTCTTTTCACTTCTCAGCTGCAAATGATTTCCTCGATTAATTCGCCAATGCATTTATTCTTGTTTGTATCACCGAGTTTTTGCGCAATTTTCTGTGTTCCTTCTTGTGAAGGTAAAATTTATTGAAGCTTACACTCTCAAATAATTTTCATTCTATTGGGTAGGATATTGGCCAATCGGCAATCAGCGGCTCGTTCCAAGGAACGTAAGATGCGATACATCTCAGAACTTGAACGCAAAGTGCAGTCTCTGCAGACAGAAGCCACGACCCTTTCTGCTCAACTCACCCTGCTGCAGGTTTGTACAGTCGACTTTCAACTTTGGTAATTAGTTATCATTTCGCATTATTTATGTTCACTTGTCAATGGAATTTATTTTGAAGCAAAAGGTCTTGGTCGTGGGGTTGGGGCGTTCTTTTAGGGATGGGAAAAGAAATTAAGACTACAACGTAATTGCAACGAATTTTGCTTATATTTTGATCAGGTTGTAGCTGTGCATATGTAGTATCTGTTGCTCAGAAGTTTTTCAAGCAAGGCTTTGTGTAGCGAGGGAGGTACCTCAAGTTACTCGCTTGAATTTCCTTCACATTGTGGAATTTCTCACTTTTGTGGCTCTTCGGCCGCGCAGAAAGATACAACAAGTCTTACTACAGAAAATAGCGAGCTGAAGTTGCGGTTGCAGGCAATGGAACAACAAGCTCAGCTACGTGATGGTATGCATGCATTGTCTCAAGTTCCTTCTGTAGCTAGCATATTACCCTTCAATTTATCTATGGGATTTTGATCATCATTTCAAATTTGTAATAAATTCTGCTCAACTGATTTTTTCTCGGTCCTAACCTAAATCCTTAATCCTACAACAGCTCTGCATGAAGCACTACGAGATGAAGTGCAACGTTTGAGAGTTGCCACTGGACAGCTCAGTAATGGTTCTGGCCAGAATTCGAGTCTTGGGGGTCAGCATGTCTTTCAGATGCAGAATCAGTCATTGAATGCGCAACACATTCAGCATCTCCAACAGACAGCACTTAATAACCAGCAACAGATGCATACTGAATACATGCAGCGTGGCGGATATGGTCTTTCATCCGGGTTTATGAAGGCTGAAGGATCAGGCATTGCAATCAATCATGGCAGTAGTTCCTCTTTTGGTTGATCTGTGTTCATCTGTCACCAGTCTGCTTCTTGTAAGGTCTAGCGAAGGGCTGCAGCTACCTCGTCATTCATGGTGCTCAACCGCCTTTCAGTGTGTCATTTGGATTCACCAAATATATCGACCTGAGTAGGACCTAGACATTATGGTTTCGTTTGCTATAATCATTGTTGTAGAGAACATCAGTCAGTACTTGGCACAACCATCCTTTTGAGTTTTCGGGTCTCTTGCTTTAATATTTTCATGGTTCTAGTCGAAATTCAAATTATTCGTTCTTTGCTGTCTATCACAGCCTTCTATCCCAAGGACTGAAGATCGTTTGGGAATGTTTTAGAAGGGCCAAGTTTTTTATTTAGAGAAGCTTGGGCTACGATGGGGTGGTCAACTGCAGGCAGGAGTTCTCGGCTGCGTTTGTGCCTGTTTTTTTCTGAGTCATCGAGATGGCTGTTGCGGCTGGAATTATTTTATTACGATAGTCCGGGATCATTCGGTGAAATCCTGATGTGTAGGGGAAGTTTCTATTTTTCTTTTCTTTTCTTTTCTTTGTCTTTTTTTTTCAGGCCATATTAAGTTTCTCGCTTCTCACTGAAGTGTTGAGGGTCTTTAATATTAGAGAATGGGTAGGTTTAGATGCCATTATTTACTCATAATTTTGTACACAGATGTGCAAAATGTACCCTGCCTCAACATCAATTTTAGGAACTATAGTAGTGGACATCTGCGGTGCCCACTTCATTGTTTATCAGAAGGCAGAGTTTTGTCTATTAATTTTGTGCAGATTTTTTTTCTACAAGTCTTATTTCGGGCTTTGTGGCACTCATTTCATGTATATATTGGACACGCATGGCCGAACATCTCAGATTTCTTTTTATTTGAATGAAACCATAGATTTGTGGTGTTCAAATGGTCAGAGCCCTCACGATTTCGGAATGCTTTTTCCTTTCTGGCTCTCGCTTGCAGCGTATGTTTTGTACTCATTTCTTGCAGGTTTGATTTTGCTGCGTTTTTGAATGTGGGAAACTATGTCATAGGGATATCTATGACATCCACATATTTCTGTAGGAGACAGCTCTCTGAATCCGTAATCTAGTTTGTGGCGTTTCCAGCATGCCGCCAGGGCAGTCTTCTATAAGTATTTACTAAGTAACATTACGATCTGATTCAGTGCAGGTTGGATTGGAAGGAAAGGAACCATGCAAGTCGGTTATCCATGTAGAACTTTTCAATCTTGAAACTGAAGTTATCTCTTCTTCTGAGTATATTACAATCTTCCAAACCAGTTGGCAATGGTTGCACCAAGGGAGAGTTTTGGTGAGAAGATTAGCAAGATTATTTGCAGATTCAATTTTCTTGTTCTTAAGTACTTAAGTCATTGGTATAATTCAAATACTTTGAATCAATATGCTTTGTCTTATTACCTTCAATGAAACCAATTTACATTTGTGCAATACAAGTGTTGTTGTTCTACTATTGTCTTCATACAAGATAGTTGGAAAATCAATTGCATAAATGTAAATTGGTTTCAATTGGTCTTCAAATTAGTGAAGCTATTGTCTTCACACAAGATAGTTAGAAAATCATCATATAAAAGTCTACAAGTTATTTGAATGAGTTTATTAATTAATCGCAATCAAATACATTCCCAAGATGTTTCATATAAGGAAATAATTTTTGCATGGTTGGATGAAATTGCACTTATAATTTGTTTCACTAATTTCTATGATATAAGAATTCCATGTCTTAAGAATATATAGCTTGTTTGAATTTTAGTTGTTGCAATATCAAATTTATATTTTGCATTATAATATTCAACCAATTTTGGATCTGCAAATTGTATGTAATATAATCCCAAGCTTTTAATATCTTTTAAATAACATAATAAATGTTTGATGCTATTCCAATGTTGTAGTGTTGGATGAGCTTTGTGTCTTGTAAGAATACTAATTGCAAATGTAATATGTGGTCTTGTAGATGTGGCTAAATACAAAAGTGTTCCAATCACTTTGAGATATAGATATTGATCTCTTAATATTTCTTTTTCATCCTCCTTACACACACAGTATGGATCATTATCATCACAACCATGTCCAATCATTGGTGTTGACAATGGATAAGCATCAATCATATTGAATCTTCATAAGATTCATCCAATATATGTTAGTTGGTAGAAAAAAATGCTACTATTTGTGAGATGCATAATTTGAAGACCAATGCAGAAAGTTATTTTTGCTACCATTTTTATCTCAAATTTACAAATAAGTAGGTTAACAGATGCAATGTATGGAGATCTAATATCCACTAGATTAAGTTCATCAATATATATAGTGATGATAAAAAAAACTAGGTTTATCTTGTTTAATAAACAAACAAGGGATTAGTGGATTACTTACAAATTTATTTATAATTAAATAATTTCAAAGATGTTGATGCCACATGCGTCCATATTATTTTAAATCAAATAGGACATTACAATTTAAAATCAAGATATTATCCTAAAGTATGTACATTTGAAATTTTATTTCCAAACTAAGTAAAACTTTCATATAAATATTTTCATTAAGAGAATTATACAGATATACAATTACCACATCTATGAAACGCATGTCAAGAGTGGCATGAACTGCCATTCCAATAATATATTGGAATGTAATTGAATCCATGATTAAAAAATAAGTAGATCCACAATCAAAGTCAAATTGTTGAATAAACCCTTGGGCAACAAGACAAACTTTATAGCAGGTTATTTGATCCTTAGCATCTTGCTTGCATATTAATATTATCTTATACTCTACAAGGCAAGATGTAAGAGTGTCCATAATTGAATCAAAGACTTTCTTCTTATGCAAAGAGACATATTCTTCTTTGATGGTAGTTTTCCATTTTAAATAATCAGAGCAATACATCGTTTTTTTGATGATTTGAGGTTGAGGATCCTCTTCCTTGTAAGAAAGAGCTTCTGCAATCATGCATATAAATCATTCATCTATTGTAATAGATGGTCTTGTCCAAATATTATTTGTAGCATAATATAAAACAAATAATTTTATATTCAACTTGGTTTTATTCTTCTAAATTTCAAGTTTTTTTGTTATATGAGATGAAGATATAATTTACATAGACATATCATCATTAATTAATGGTTTTGTAGATTTAGTAGGAAATTTTACAAAAATAATACCAGAATTATCACATGTTATAGTCTTCTTATTATATGATTGTTTATCTAGTCCACAAGTTCTTTTAATTTTTGATGTTATAACCTGAGGTATATTAATTAGTGGTATTGCAATTTGAGTAGATATATTTTGAGCCTCATTAATAGAAATCCTTGTAATCCAAGACACATCATTGAAGCCATGAAGTGTTTAATCTGCAATCCATTTTAAATACAAAATCTTAGCAACTTCAATTTCAGCCTAAGATGTTTAAGGATCATGATTAATTGTAAATGTTTCTAGTGTTCCAAATACAAGTATTATATTTCTTTGTTGATTAGATAATCCTCCTTGAAGAGATGAAAATAAATTCTCTTCAAAACATCAATTTTAATAATGTGCACGTAATAATGTGCTAGTTGATAGATCAACAATACAAATAATATTGGATTAATCAAAACTAATATATATGCCTTCTTGTTGATGAGCTCCAATAGTTTTCCATTGAAGTTTTGATATTAAAACCCAAACATAGCAACCAAACATCTATAAGTGAAATACATATGAAACATGACCCGTAATGAATTCTTATAGTGTAATAATTTCAATAGGAGAAGGATGGAGGTATATTAATGTTGCAATATGTAAAATTGCATGATCCCATATAGATGTAGGTAAATTTGCCTTAAAAAAGAGTAGGTGAGTAATGAGTTGTATATGCTTTATAAATGATTCTATTAGTACATTTTGAGGATGTTCATATAGAACACAATATATCAACTCAATCCCTATTACAGTACAATAGTCTTCAAAGGACTTTGATGCAAATTCTTTTTCATTGTCCATATGCAATGTTTTCATAGGATAATCAAGAAAATATACTCGAAAAAAAATAAGCATAGATATAAGATTAGGAAATACTATTTTTTGTATTGATAATAATGAAACATGTGATTGTTTGCCTAATGCATCAATAAGGACCAAAAAAATAATGAAATGGTCTAGATATTGGATTAATAGGATTGCAAATATGACTATATAACCTTTCAAGCATTGGTAGTAACTCTTGTAGGAGTTTCAAAATTGAAGTATGAATAATCATCATGCCTTGCACACATGCATGATATAATTCTATAGAATCTACATCTAAAGGTCTTAAATTATGTCCAATTATACATGAAATTATCTTCAAAAATAATGTAGATCTCAGATGTCTTAATCATCTATGTGAGAGAGAACCACGACTCTTTGTAATAGATGATGCAAAATTAAATATAATGGCAGGCCAAATTGTAATTTGATATAAATCATTTATTGCAACAAAGGCTTTTTCAACAACTTTAAGGTCTTGTGCAAAAACCAAAACCTCCTACCTATCTAAATTAGTAATTAAAAAGTGATAATCATTAGTATGCACATCTTAGTAGCTAATCAAATTTTGAGGTGTTGAAGGTACAAACATTGCATGTTTATATTTTATGATTGAGCTTATAGGCAATTTTATCATTGTTATTTCTTCTTGGAAACAAAATACATTCCCTCCAACTATGATCATCAAATTTTTAGTTTGCCAAGCTGAAGATTTTTTTAATAAAAAAACATATATCCTCAAATATAATATGTGTTGTTGCAAAATCAATGAGTGCATTATTTGACTTATTATTGCATGAATGATGAAATCTTAACTTGAATTTTTTTATTTTCTTTGAATATTTTAAAAAAATATTCTAAAATACGGCATGCATATGCTAAATGACCAATCATCCCATATTTATAGCAAGAATACATCTTTTATTTTTATTTTATATAGTAATTAGTAGAATATTTATTCTTTTTATATAGGCAAAAATTGTCACAACCATAACTATCTTGGTGCTTATAAACACTTTTTCTATATTTATATATATATTTTTTAGACTTTAAAATATTAAGTGCATAAAATTTTGGAACCATGGTTCTAATAGGACAAGCTTACAAATTATGCAAGAGTAGCTCATTTTGTTTCTCTATAAGAAGTACATAGGACATGAGAGCATGATAACTTTGAAATTTCATATTCCTATATTGTTGTATAAGTATAATAGATGCATGAAGAAATATAGAGAGAGTTTTTTCAGTAATTTCTTTTTTAGAGATTCTTTGTCTGTATAACTATAGTTGTGAGATAATACAATACATTTCACTATTGAAAGTATTTAAATTTAGAAAACCTAAGTCACATAAATGTGTCTAATTATGACATGCACGCAGAAGAAAAATGGTCTTTTGATGATTAAACTTGGATTTAAGATTCTTCCAAAGCTTGATTAGATCTTTCATTTCTAAATATTGATGTTGCAATGCAGGTATAAGATAACAACAAAGGAAAAGAAGTGCTTTCGAATGGATAGCAAGAGGATTAAAAGTACTTATAATATGAGATTCTTCAATAGAATTATATCTAAGAATTATCCTATATATATATATATATATATATATATATATTTATTTATTTTAATTTTTTTCCATAATAGATAATTATTTCTATCAATAGTCAATGGTCGAAATAGAAGAGCTTAAAAATATTGGGATTGAGTGGTGATAGTTGAAAACATAGTAGAAGCAATTAAGGATGTTAAAGCACTCATTATAAATAAATCTATGAAGAAAATACAAGATCAAGTAAGAAAGGTTGAATAAAATGCACCTTGAATAATA